TTTTATGTAAATTTTATAAAATTTACATTTTCTAGAACTTTATATTAATGGAATCATCTAGTATGTACTGTATTTTTGTTCAGCTTTTTAACTCAGCATAATTGTATCTGGTCATTGTATTGGGTCATTCACATTGTAGCATGGATCAACAGTTCATACCTTTTTACTGCCGAACTTATTCCACTTATGAATGTACCACAATTTTTTCAGCTACTCTCCAGTTGAGGAACATTTAGATTATTTATAATTTTGGCTATTATGAATAATGATGATAATAAACACACATACATGTCTTTGTATGAACATATGTTTTCATTTTTGCTATTGGGTAAACTCCTAGGAGCAGAACTGCTGCATCATATGGTGGGTGTATGTTTAATTTTTAAAGAAAACTGCCAAACTCTTGCCCAAAATAGCTGTACCATTTACATTCCAAGCATCACTGTATGGCATCTTTAAAAGTGACAAATATCATGAGAGATATAGCAACTCCTAAGTCCCAAAGAAGGTGCTCATTCCAAAGTCAGACGACAGAGGCAAAAAGCATTTCATGCAGAAAAAATGATTCACACTAACAGAGGTAGTGATATATCCCAGTATAGCAACTGTAGCCCATGAGAGACTTGCAGGTGTTCTATCTTAAATTCCATCAACAAAACATCTCTCTAAACATAACCAATGTAAGAAAAAACTCATGTTTTGAAAGTCTAACATGCAAAGAAAAGGAAATCTTAAAAAGGCAGCAATAAAACTGATGTAAGCCATTACAATAGCAGCTCACCTGAGATTTACTAGTCAATCACGATGCTGTCTTATAAGATTTATATGGGAACACTTGTTTTGTTGCACTTCGATTTATTCTGCTTCAGAGAGGTTGTGTTTTTTACAAATTGAAGCCAAGACCAGCAAAAAGATTATGACTCATCTTACTGCAGTATGCCTGTATATAGCCACTTCAGTGACTGTTACCTCCATTTTGCAGGTGAAGAAACCAGAAACACTGGAGTTAAGAATGTGTCCCCAAAGTCATAATTTGCAGGAAGTGGAACCAAACTTGCCTGACCCTAGACGATGCTTTTCTTGGCTTTACTACTTCAGGGCTCTCTCTACAGGTTTCACATGGCTTCCAGCCTGCTTGGAAGAGACCTCCTGGAAGCTGAGTGATACTATCCCTGAAGTATCAGGGATAGTACACTGTTTCTAGTACTGCAGACATCAGGCAACTTTCTGATATTTAACTGTTTCCAAGCCCACTCTCTATCTGGAAAAGGAGAAGTTAACCAGTCAAAAGGAATCAAACAGATACACTCAGCAGCAATTCTCTCTTAGAGCGGGGTGTCAAACTTATTTTCACTGGGGCCACATCGGCCTTGAGGGTGCCTTCAAAGGGCTGAAATAATTTTAGGACTGCATAAATGTAACTACTCCTTAACTGTTAAGGAGATAAAATTACATTTGACCCTCTGAAGGCAACCATGAAGCTGATGTGGCCCCTGATGAAAATGAGTTTGACACCCCTGTCTTAGAGAGGAAATTACAAGACCAGACATTCTAGTCTTGAACATTACTGACCAGAAATCTGGATCACTTGACTAATCAATAGCCTTTTCTGAGGACCATCGTAACAGGTAAAAATCACCAAGTCAGGCATCAATTCTGTATTAGCCCGCAAGTGCTAAACTCAACTTTATACCTAGAATGTAACCAAAACCATAAAAAATAGGTGTATTACCAGGTTAAAAGGAAGGGGCACACTGTTTCAGAATTAACTTTATACAGGAAATACCAAACAAGCGGCAGGTCTTACTGAGGAATTTCTTCTCCCATCCACCCTTCTATATTCTACAATATTTGAGGACCTAATATTTTCAGGAAAAGCCAGAATTTATATAACTCTTAGTTTCCTCCCCAAAGGTTGCCCTGCTAATTCTTACTCGATCCATGGCCTTAAATAGGCCATATCAGTAGATTTTTCGGCTTTATACAAATCTTGCCAATCCTTCCACACCCTAAATGTCTACAGATCTGTTTTCTATAGCTGGTATTTTATCTTCCTCTCCCAAGCCCCACTGTCTGTCTCCTAGATGATATCAGCAGTGGTGATTCTCAGAGGAAAGTATAACTGGAAGGTATGCACTAGGAATACCAGGAAAGAAAGGAGGGAATTGGTCCACTCAAAGTGTTGAAAGTAGCGCCAAGAAGTGGGGATGCTCGCGTGTTACCTGTCTTTACCATCAAGCCAGGAGAGCTGAGAATATGATGTCTTCAGAAGAGATTTGGGTTTTGGTGGGATCATGGAAAAGGGCAGAAGACGTTTTGAAAACACAATGAATGGTAGTGTATATACAGAGTTAGGAAGCAGAGGTATTGCATAGCAAAAAAGTATTATAAGAAAGAAGGAACTACAAAAAAAAAAGAACGAAGAAAGAAGGAACTATGACTGACTCACATTTCTTGTTTTAAATTTAACCATTGACTCAATTTTCTTAGCCAGTCCCTTCCTGTCCAAAAATACTGCTTCACTTCAACCCAGTATCTTCCAATAATCACAAATTCGGAATTAATGATGCTTAAATGACTTGTGATTTGATATTTCAACTATTCCTATAGGAAAGATGAGGGAAAGAAAGGACAGACAAGTCACAGGACAATAATGGTTGGGCTGACAAGTGGTAGGCATAAGAAAGAAGACAAAAAATACATAGGTATGTTTGTATGTAGTACATATGTAAGTCACCAGATGGGCCAGGCCCAACTACGCAAAAATTTTAAAAAGCTTTAGTGCAGCAAATACGTCAAAGCCTGTAGGTCTCACAAATACCTTTTAAGGGAAGGATATTTTATTTATCCTGATTAATTTCAAGTCACAGTCAACTTTGAAATAGAACTGATGTAAGTAATGTAAATATCAAACTCTGTTTTTATTGGTTAACTTTGAGGACACTACAGGACAGCACTCAGAGTCATGTGAAGATTAATACACTTTGATATTTACCATAAAGTTGCAAATATATATAACTACTGAACATTTGATGTTGACATTGGCAAAATGACCCTTTTGATATTTTAAAATATATCACAGTCTCAGAATCTTCAGTCTGAAAGCAATCATTAGGATGACCAAATCCAGTCCCCTTCTCTTATGGATGAGAAACCTTAGAGGCTAAAAGGGACATTTTAAGTAATGTGCACAAAGTGGAATGAACATAAACAAAATCTCTTATTAAGAAGTACAGAATTAAAGAGAATCAAACCTTTTAGAAAGAAAAATGTCTTCTAGCTTCACTTTTTTACACAGAAAATCACAAATTATATCCTCTCCTTCTTGCAAAAGAGGACTCACATCATGTCAAATTAGACCTTTTCTCAAATACACACTCACTCCTCAGGCAAACACACTACCATGCTGTTCTTTCCTTCAACCTAGCTGAAGTGCTTCCACAAACATTCACAAAGTCACTGAAGCTCAGCAAGATAAGCATGCCTATTAATCTTCACCCCAATGTAACTACTTCTAGAAAAAAAATTTAGATAGCATAATCTAAATGTAGAGTGACCTTTCTATTAGAAATTAGAAAATAGAGGTGAATAGTCTGGAATTTTTACTGTTTCCAAGACCCTCCAAAAGAGGGGATACTAGCTACTTAGAACAAAGTGTGTATTCCGTGAGCCAGAACCTGCATCTTCAAGCAACTGCCAGGGTTCTCTGCAGCGCTCACTGGAGGCAGGCTACGTTTCAGAACCAAAAGAAATACGAAATACATATTTTAGAGATAACCTAACATCTGCCCTAAGTAACTCCACTGGCATTTTAACATCCCTACTCAAGCAAGAGGGAAAAGGGTAATATCGTATATTCCTAGATTTACCCAGTATGTAACCCCCATGTGTATCAAGAGCTAGCTTGTATATCTGAGAGGATAAGAGTGGACAACCTAATTATCATTTGTTTGGTAGAGGAACACTTAAGTCAATGGCTTATACAGGTCCTTCTGACAACTGACAATTTCAGCTTAGATGACATCAGCGGTGGCGATTCTCAGAGGAAAGAGTAACTGGAAGGGATCCACTAGGAACAGCAAAGAATGGGAAATCGGCCCATGCAAACTTAGGAAGTAACTGAGAAGTGAGAATGCTCACAGGCTACCTGTCTCTCCCACCAAATCAGGAGTTGAGAATCTGATGTCTTCCTCAAAGCATTTGGTCCATAGACACTTGGAAGGAGAACTGATGCCAGCCAGATATTTCTTCCAGTGTTAATTAATACAATGACTTTCTTGTCAATAAGGTTTTGATGCTCCAGACTCAATCCAACAATTACTACTAACTAAAACATTTCTAACCTGCAAAGCTCTTGACACCTCCACTAATGGGAGACCCCTGATGTAAACTCCACTAACAGGAGACCCCCTTATGTCCAGTTTGATGCATCTATTGGCTATCTACCAAAATGAGAAAATTCTGAGTTATGTATAAATAAGTTGAGTTATTCATTCACATTCTCTAACCTACTCCCTCTTTCTCTCCACCTCCCTCCTTTCTCTCTCCTCTCCTTCCTTATTCCATCCCAATGGAATGGAGAAGGGGCTGGAGAAGTTCTCCATAAAGGACCAGATAGTAAAGAGTGTAGGCTTTTTGGGCTCTGCCATTGTTACACAAAAGTACCTACAGACAATCCATGAATGAATGGGCATGGCTGTGTTCCAATAAAGCTCTTTACAAAAACAGGCAGTGGGCCAGATTTGTCTCACAAGGCTATAGTTCTTCAACCCCTGGTATACAGTAGCTGTTCTCAAACTTTAGCCGCCATCAGAATCACCTGTAAGACCTGCTCACAAATGATGCTTATGCTCCCACCTGGAGAACCACTGGTATAAAATAATGGTCTATACTGCACTCATTGAAAGGTTGAAATATAATAAACAATTTAAAAAGTGGAAATAACATGCTATAATAAACTTGGCTGCTAATTTTATAGAATATTTCACATGAAGACTTACTGTTAAGTGCCATAATATTATCTGTTCCTGGATGGTGGAAATTTATTCCCATGCGTCCTAAAAAATAAAATAATTTTATTTTAAGCACAAAGAAAATAATGCTTAATATAATTGTTTCAAATACATTATAAAATATGAAGATTACAAAAAGCTGAAACAAATGAATCTATAACAAACAATGCTATCAAAGGCCATAGCAATTACAACAGTTTTAAAATCAAGTCATAAAATATACAAATGAAAAATCTTAAAACAAAGCCAAAGTCTCAACAACAAATAAACAGAACAAAACAAAGCAAAAAAGAAGCTTCCATTATAATTGCCTGAAATTTTAATGCAATTCCCGCATTCATTTTAAACATGCCAACTCCCTGATTAAGCATTTCATTTAATGCACCCTTCATAGTGCCCTTCAAATTCAAGCAGCAGAATAATGAGTTCAAGAAATATAAACTTAAAGCTTAGAGGGAATAAAAAGATACAGGTCTCAGAGTGACTCGAAAATGCAACCATTATCAGAATGGCAAGTGGAAGTTGATAAAACTTATATAACGGACTGGGGAACAATGACTGGCCTAAAAACCTAGGGTTCTTATTGTTGCCCCATCACTAACTCATTAGTGTGTGACCTTATAGTAGTAATAGGGGTTGCAAACTTCTGCCCACAATGACTGACTACTGTGTTTGTACACCTCCTCTAAGAATGATTTTTATCTTTTTAAAAGGCTGTAAAAACAAAAGTTAAAAACCAATATAATATGTGACAGAGACCCATGTGGCCCATAGGCCTAAAATATGTATTCTCTGGCCCATTCCAAAGTTTGTCAATCTCTGGTCTATAAGATGACAAGAATAAACCAGATGTTTCAACTAATACCCTCCAGGGTTAAGAGTAGAAGGTGTAGACATTAGATCTGCTTTTTCATTCATTATTTAGATAAAGGTGGTGGATATATGAATAGAACAATGAAATAGAGAAGAGTCTTATATGGGAAGAATGTACTTCTTATGTTTTCTTAACCAATTCCTGCAATAAAATCATTATTGAAACAATGTTTTTATGTAAAGCTAGTATCTACAAACTTGGCTTGGAAGGTTTTCATGTCCAATTATGTCAAGAGTTACCATGAAAGTCTCAGAGAAATGTTAATTTTAGGCCACTACCATTGTTTAAATAACTGTCAATAATATTGGGAAGGAATGATGCAGAGAAAGCTGGAGATTAGAAAGAAACAAATACAGCATTACATGTCATTGTAAAAGGTCAGTCATCACTTGGTTTGCTAAAAGGCAAAAACATTGTGCTTTTCCTGGTATCCTCCCTAATTCTGTTGGCCTCTTTGACCCCAAAAATCTCTGGATCAATAGCAATAAAAGATACTATAAGAAACTCTGGGTCAATGCCACACCCACCAGAACCAATTATTCAGGTATAATCTAATTTTCCCCAACTAAATGCAGTCTTTTTAGTAAAAGCACTTACAGCTTCTTTAAGCTACTTTCTTTACCTCTTCAAAAATTAATGTTCAGATAATAAAGTACAATACTTTCATTGGAGAAAAATTAGACTTCAGAAAAATGAAGAAAACAAGATCACCAAAGACAAGCTCTGTTAACATTTTGGTTTACAGTCTTCCAGTTTAGGAAGTGTATATATGTAAAGGTTTCTTTTCTAAAATTGAAAATTATTTTATAATTTATTTTTTGTTTAATATATTATACACCTTAAGTCTCACAGGGATTTTGGAGGAGAGAAAATATGTATAACAGCAAAAGAAAAGCTGATTCCAAATTCAAATGAGGCCATTTCCCCCCCTTCTTTTGTCCAACAAATACTGCTGTTTAATCAGCTGTGAAAATAGAATCAAGTGTGTGACATCTGGTGATTTTTGTTAATGCAGTCTGGTGCTACCAGCGTGACATTTTGTCACCTGTCTGTGGTCTGCTATTTTTAAATCGTTCTTGTCAGCTAGCTATCTTTTAAGGATGGTGTAAAATATAAGGTTTCGAAGACCGAGGAAGGTAATGCTTGGCTTTACTGAGGTAAACTATGCTGTGGAAATCTGAGACTGTGTCCCACTTTCCCCACTGTACAGGGTCCGAAGAATGGGGGTGAGACAGGGTGGAGGGAGAGTTTGGAGAATAGGGTTTCCATATGGTTACTCAGACTATAAAAATCACAGTTTTATAAGCTCAATTCACATTCATATTCGAGAGGCCAGTTATAAAAAACTACCTGTACTGTTATTCAAAGTTTCAGGGTCTAGCTAAACCCACACTTCTAAATGTCCAAAATAAAAATTAGAATTTTTATTAATTCACACTTATTTATGAGAGTCACCTCTTCACTTCTGCAACATGTTATGTGATAGGGAACAATTGCTGCATCTTCCTCTAATCATCCCCATTTGCTCTAAACAGTTGAGTCCTTCAGGAGACCTTCCCAGAACAGAAACTAAGTCCTTCAGGAGACCTTCCCAGAACCGAAACTAAGTGCCATGTTCTAAAAAAGGTTGTAAGACAAAATGGATATTCCAGTAGATTCTGTTTCACACTACTTCACTCTATAAAGTTGAAGACAGCCCTTCAAAAAAGAAGTAGCCATAAAATGTATTATATGTAAAAATCCAATAAAATGTCTTAAATCCCTTTCAATGAAAAGTGATAAAAATTTGATACTATAATATTCTAAATACATTCCAAAGACCCAAGAAACAAAAGCTGTGAGCTCCAACCTGAGGTCAAACCCTAGTTCCTTTGTGTATCGGCAGTGGATAACTCGTAGCATGTTATCAATTCCTTTGTGCCTACTGTGTTTCCTCACTTCAGGCTATACTCTGGAACCATTAAATCAGAAATTCTGGAGGTAGTGCACATGATTAAAGTACCCATAGTCTTTTTCTTTCAAAACTCTCATTCAGGGGAGAAAAAAACCCTCAGGTGACTACACTGCTATATTTAAAGGATCACTGGGCAAATTAATGGGAGATACTAACATGAAGAAATCACTCCACTTCTATCTGCTGTCCTCCCTCCAGTGTGTCAACAGAACAAGAACTCAGAACATGTGCCCTAAAAGTCTATGGAATCTGCTAACTTGTATACAAGACAAACTGGTAAGAGCTAATGAAGAGAGCACAAACATAGAACTAGAGTAACAATTAAAGTAGGTGAAGAGACAGTTTATTTTTCTGAACAAACTAAATATAACTAAGCTGCACTTTTTCTAAAACAAGGGAATCTCAACATTCCACTAAAAGGCCAATTTTGTGAAAGGCTATATACCACTAAATTTAAGTTGCAATGTATAAATAAAAATGCCTCTATACCAAAGGAGTGGTATCTATTCCTTCCAAATTCCTGTCAATCTAAATGTTTTAAAGCACTATTAGCAGAAGATAGCTATTTTTTTCCCCAGATTTGAAAAGCAAACCCTTCAGGGTCAGTTTCCAACTAACACCTGCTCTTTTCATTTTTCAAATTTCAGTTCCATGAATGGTAAAAGAAGAGAAAATTCAAATATATAAAAACGTTTCCACAGGCACTACCCCAAGTGGTCAGCCAGGCCTACTGTTCTGTTGTAAAAGGGAGACCACATGGATGAGAGAAAAGGTGACTTTTTCTGGTTTTTCTTCCCCCAAGATGTCTGCTGTGTTGTGCTACACTAGCCAGGGGACAAGTCCTTGCTTCTCAATGTCACCTGCACTGCCCAGTGCACTGCGGCTGATATTTCCCTACTCTTTGCTTCTCTCAGTGCTTTGTCTTCTTTCCAAATTAATCCTAAGAGAAGGTATGATCAATCGAACCTAATGACCCCAGGTTTTCACAGGGGTTCCCCAGTGGCTAGAGGAACTCTCATCATTAGTAGCAAGTCAGCAGACTTGCTACTATAAGAAGGATATAAGGATGAACCTTCTTGCCTATCGCTTCTTTCCAATGCCAGAAATCCCCCTAATCCTCACAGTTAGGAGTTGAATATCCCTTCAGTCCACTAGAAAAGAGGGCAGAGAACAATTCCTCCCACCCAGGCCTTACTCATGTCCCAACCCAAGGATTTCTGTACTTAGAAAAGATATAAGAAACAGTCTTCACTAGTTCATCACCCATCTCAAAACTCTCCTCTTCTCTTGAAGGCATTATTTCTAATGAACAGGGAAAGTCATATATAACATGTAAGAGACAACAGGTAATTATTAAAATGCTATTCTGTTATAACCAAGAGCTATAATTTGAGAACTTTAAGAAGCCAAACATTAGTCTAATTTTTATTTAAATAAGTGTTCTATGATCTGATCAACACTGCAGAAAACATTCCTCAGGGTGCTATGAAAAAAGCCCAAATTGACTTTTTTCCTACATTATTTGACATTTTTATCATAGGGCAGGAGTAGGGGGGTCTTTTAAAATTGGTATACAAATAACATCTTCAATGCTGACCTAGTATTATGTAGATGTAACTGGAAAACTGTTAAAACTCTGCACTAAAACAGAAATCTTATTACTTCCTCAAGTTCCCACTCTGTCATTTCTCTCACTAAACCTAAACCTTTCTTTCCCTCTGAATCAAGAGAACAGCTGAACAAAGGGATTTCTCATTGAAGACATTTCTAAGATGAAATATCACTGTGAACATATTTTTACTATGTTCAGTTTCAATACATCATGAGGTTCTTCATTTTTCATGAATGTGATATCCTATTTCATTATACCTTCTTTACATTGTTCAGATATGCAATTCTGGAAAGCCGACATAACTTAGAAGGATTATTTTCCTTTCTCTCCTTTAGGTGGTTTTTGATAATGATAATCATTATTTATCTATGGCAAGTACAAAATTTTGACAACTTGCATTTGGAAGCTTTTAACATTTAGCTGCAGTCTAGCTAGAAAGAAATGTTGTAGGAATATAAAGGTTTAATTTATTACCCAGGCCAGGCAGTAGGGTTGATTCAACTAATACCCTCCAGGGTTAAGAGTAGAAGATGTAGACATTTGATCTGCTTTTTCATTCATTATTTAGATAAAGGAGGTGGATATATGAATAGAAAAATGAAATAGAGAGAGTCTTATATGGGAAGAATGTACTTCTTATGAGACATACTACCACAGACAGCAAAAAAAAAAATATAGATAACATTTGAGCAGCGTCTAGTGTCAGGAACTTTATCTGACTCTGTGAAGTAGGTGCTTTATTCTAATGATGAGGACACAACTTTGAAAAGGGTAATTTATCTAGATCAATAGCTAACTAGAGGCAGAGCCAGAACCCAAACACAGGTTTGAGGGACTACAAAGTCAGAAAGGGCGGGCTGACATTTCATCTACTCTGCAGAGAATATAAAACGTCTGGAAGAATGTTAATAAAAATAACAATCTTTGTTATCTCTAGGTAGTATGTCTCAGGTGATTTTTTTACACTTTCCTTTTTGTCTTTTTAAGTACTACTTGAATTTCTTACAATGAGAAAGAATGTATTGTTTTCTAAAGCAAATTGAGCTCTAGAGGAAAACACCACAACACACGAGCATATAAAAAAAACAATGACTCTATAATTTGAGTTTTGAAACCCTCAAAATAGTGTTACCCTGTTCAAGTGAGAGAAGAGGCCACTAAAGATAGGAGGAAAAATAAACTGGAGCAGGGGGAAGTGTTTCTAGACAGATTCACACAGAAGCCACGTGGTAGTTCTTCTGCCTACCACGTTTCTCTTAAAGCTCAATTCACCTAGATGTTAACATCTTTTTTATTTTTAATTGAGTAGATGTTTGCATCTTTTGACCCAGAAATCCTCTCCATGAATTTTCCCTAAGAAAAAGCTATGTGCAAGAACTTGTCCATGGTAGCATTACCTACAATGGAGAAAAAGCTGGAAATAACCTAAAAGTCCAAAGTCTAGACCTACCAATAAATTATAAAGACCAGATAAAACCATGGGTAATGATTATGTGGGAAATAGAAAAATAAAGGATATACCATCACAATGTTTCTTTATTTTTAAATGACCTTTTTGTTATTTATTAGAAAAAATAAGGATCAAACACATGATGCCATAAATCAGATCTAAAAGTCTCCTAGCTAGAAAAGGGAAGCAGGAAGCTCAAACGCCCTAACCAGGGAACAATGACATGAAGATGTAATTGAACACGGCAAGTAGTCCTTTCACAGGAAATCAGTGTGGGTGGTATGATGACTGAGAAGTTGCAACTATATCCAGGATGTAAAAGAGTACATATTTAATGCCTTCCAATTTATTAGGACACATATCTGTAAGTACAATGCAGAAAGCTTTTACAGATGAAAGCCCACATTTGCAAGTATAGTGAAGATATTTATGCCGAGGTAGTCAGACATGCAAAAAAAACCAAAACAAAACAGGCCACTACGATTGGAATGAGGTATTTACATTATCCCACAGTGAGGTACTATACTTTGCTGGGGATACTCTCAAAAGGCAGAGGGCACAGTAGCGCCTGCTTAAACAATATCCACAAAACTGTGGATAATTATTTTACAGACTATAATCTGAAATGCTTTTATAATCTTTTACTGCTGGAAGAAAAGAACACAGACTAAGAGAAGGCAGGTATGCATAAAGAACAAGGCCTAAATATTTTAGATTAGAAGAAGCTTACAGCTGTTTGAGGTAGAGAAAGAAGACAAATGCAGCCTTAGAAGATAATAAAAACACAAAACCATCCATGAATATCACTGGCTTCTTTTTTTAACGTCATTCTGACTTCTAAGTGGAACATGTTTTAAATTATCATGTACCTAATCTTTCAACTGAAGACAGACATGGTAAATGTCAGTGACTAAATACAACAATGGATAAATGACAGGGTTTTTTTTTTTCCTACTTCTGAAGGCTTTAAAATACGGCTTTTCTCAAAATCCCTTCTTTATAGTCTGTTAACTACTTTCTTTTCACTGGAAATTGAAGACTGCAGCCGAAAATCTTGAGTGTGACAAGAAAAGGATGAAACAGATTTCTGGTGGGGCTTGAGGAAATGACTATCAGGTGTTCACAGCCAGGCACGCCCTGAAGGAGCCTGGGAAGGACCAGAGGGGAATCAATTCCTCACAACTCCAGAGGACAGAGGGGTTCACACAAGATGGGCAATCCAGTGGCTAACGCTACAGTTTCCAGATTGTGAGGCTCTAACCCCAAGCACAGTGGATATTTCAATGGAAAATTTCCATTACAGTATTGAAAAATACCAAAGGGCCCCTAAACATCCTATGACCCATAAAAAGAACTATCTGTAATTATGAGCATAACATCAGCCTCTACCCTGAATTTACATGGGCTATAAAAATAGAAGTCCTAGTATTGCTGACATTGGGCCTTTCTGACTTTTATTTAACCCAAAACATTTAAGACATTTTTGTTGTGTTTTTACCTTAGAGAATACAAAGGTGTTGCTGGCTGCTGCTAAGTCTGTGTGGTGTTATTTCCTATATTAGGAAATGGACTATATTTTAATAAAATGAAACCCACTTCTAGGAAGCTTTCTGAAGTAGTCTTTGGAGACTGGTTTACTGCATCTCCTATTTCCTAGCAGTGCACTTGAGCTTAAATGAATTATTCAGGTTCAGCTATGGATTCCAAATGCACAAAGCCCAGGAAATTTGGCTTCTGGTCTCATGCTATTACTGCAACCTCAGCTGCCCAACACATGCTTCTGCCAGACATTATGAGTAAAGCAATCAACTTTGAAAATCATAGGTAGCTGAGCCCAGGTTTTTAAAATATCAACTTTAAACACATTCCACAATGCTTTAGAGAAGCAAACAAAAACAAACAAAAGACAAACAAAACCAAAAAAACCACAATGATTAAACAGCTGATTTTTGTTTAAAACACCAAGCAAGGAATGGACATATGAATATTCCTAACCTGCAAAATGATTCCTCCACATTATATCAGCGAAACTCATTGGTGGGCCACTGGGAGGGTAGTGTTTACCTTTCAGAGGCTCATGGTCAGTCCTTATCATATCCATTAAGGAGTTCTCCAACGAGTGCAAGTTAAAAGTGTCATAGGGCCTACTCCGGTCCTAAAAATAAAAACACAGAACAAGACAACATGTAAAATTACTTCATAAAATCAATACTGTACCATTTCCTTCTTGCCACGTATCAATGACATCAAGTAAACTCCAAATAGTTCTAATAACACACAGTCACTCTTTTCATTAAGAATAATAAGTTTTAAAAAAAGAATAATGAGTTATTTCAGAATTACAGTAAACTTACATGAATGCTGGAATTAAAAAAATGACTTGGCAACATTAAGTTTAATACAAGTTTCCATTATTACTTAAATTGCATCTTTTCCCTAATATTCTTTCATGTATATGTCCCACTGCTTCAGACTGACTTTCACTCAAGTGAACTAGAAGAGTGAATTTAAAAGGTAGAGTCAAGTGAATTGGATTTGTCCTCCGTCTTTCATCCACTGCGTCCGGTCAAATGAAGATTCTTTTCAAATGAACACAGATTTTTTTCCTCTGGAGGAAGACTATATTTAAGAACTATTAGTCTACAAACAGACTTATTTTCCTAAAAAACCAAAAGGTGACTAGTTTCAATGTAATTCAACTGGATATTTAACATTTATTAGTGATAAAAAGGTCCATACATTAAGTATACATTTTAATAATTATGGTATACTCAAATACTAAAATTATCTTTTGAAAAGCATTTACACGAAAAAACTTTAGCCCAATGTAGTGTTTTCATGAGGTTAGAGTCAAAAAGATTTTACAACCAGAAAGCTAATGCAAACTAAGGAAAAAATAATTGTTCTGCCACATTTCACACAAGCCCATAGGAGACAATCACTGGTACATTATTTTTAGTAGTCTGAGCCTAAAAGGAAGTGCAGCTCATGGCCTAACTGATTACTATAGGACAGATTTAGTTTGCTTTTGTTAAAGAATAACAAGACAAACACACACCTGAACAACCACGCAAACCAAACTATAGCAATGAGAGACTATTTTCAGGATCTTGAACAGTTTATCCAGCCTTGCAAATGATCACTTATCCTCTTCTATGAACACAGAATACAAAATGACTCCCCACGTGAACAAAAAAGAATACAATAGCTAAAAACCTCAGCTACAATGACCATTTTCTAGGTTAAGTGTTAAACCCTTGGAAAGCTGTTTTCTTCTGGTTTCTGGAAAGCATAGCTATATACCTATCAAGGGAGGCAGAAAGGCAGGTGACATTTCCTCACCAATGAGTGTTAAAAAAAAAAGAAAGAAAGAAAATTCAGAGGATTATTGAATAAATGAATGCAGTACATATGCATGCAGGTCCAAGAAGAGCCCTGAACTAAGAACACGAAGGTAAGAGTGCCAAAACTACTGTAATCAAGTGGGCGCTTTTGGTTACATCCTGATCCACCTCTCCAGTCTGCACCTGAAATTCCTTCCTTTATACAAAGGCGAGGATTGAGCTAGGTTACTTCTAATACCCCTGACAACCCTATACTTTCTTTTTTTAACTTACCCATGAGGAGTGGGGGTGGAGGGCACGAGTCAAGGGCCACTCCCCTACTAGGTCCTGGCAGTTCAGAAATAAATGCTATAGCCTAGTCCCTGTTTGTAAGTAACTAGGAGAGACAGACATACCAATTATAATAAGACTATGACTGTTGTTTTGACCAAGGAATGTATGCAGTATAGTGGAAACTAAGTAGCATCTATTTCTTTAAGAACATATATCTGACTATGTGTATATTATAATTTTTTTTAAGTTCACAATATAAAGTTTTAGGTGTCTTAATATGGTCCTGCCACATGACCGGGTATAAGGCTTGTCTCAGTTACTCTCAATGGCCTCTTAACCTGTGAGAATTAAGTTGGAATTACTTAAGTATTTATTTTACTCACATTTTGTTTGCCAAAGGACACCTATTCAACATTTCGTAGGATGCTGACACACCCCCACCCCATTTTTTTTCTTTTTAGCATTCATCAGTTATCAGTCTCTACTGTTGGATATGAAAGAGACTCAAAATATTTTCTTTGGTTCTCCATTTTGCACTCTACATAATTTAAGAAGGTCCCTTCCTTTACCTTTAAAGTCTTCCTGGAGATCATTTGTTTTGCTTTGTCTTCAAGTTATCAGTGGAAACTCTAATTACCTAAGGCACAGGTGGCAAACACAAGGCCCGCAGGCCAAATCCTGCCCTCCACCTCATTTTTATCCAGCTCAGCACCTTATTTCTACCCGGCGGCAGTGCCGAGCTCTCGCTTAACTGTTAAAGAGTCATTACATCTATACAGTCCTAAAATTACATTTGGCCCTTTGAAGGCAACTGCGAGGCTGAAGTGGCCCCAGTGAAAGTGAGTTTGACACCCCTGACGACTTAAGGAGTAAAGCTGAATTTCCAGAAATGCTGGCTTATCTTTCCCTATAAGAAGTATTGTATTCTTTGCCCAAAGAAAAAGCCAGAGGTAAAAACGTGTGCTGATGAAGAGGCAAAATGACAACCTATTTATGACACTGACAATCCCATAATAAATGTCTAGGACCTTCTATCATACGTGTCCTCATTTCCAATGCACAGACGTGTGACTGTTTAAAGAGGGGCTGATAAGTGAAGGGACTGTAAGAAATGGCTGTTTGAAGACATGTGAGATCTCTCCAGTCAGGACAGTTTCTTTTTTTCATTTAATTCTTCATATAGTCTTCCAAGTAGATAACAGCATATTCATTTTACACTGAGGGAGATGAGGTTCAGAGATGATTCAAGTCTGGGTCCGACCTCAAAACTAATACCTAAGGAGAACAAAAATCTGTCCAAAGAAGTTATTCCAATCTATATGGAATATCAAATAAAGGCTCCATAGAAGCACTGCATTGCATCTAATCCCTGATGAAATGATCTCCCTGGGAGGGTGGCAGTGAGCTCCTGTCAGACAAAAATGTCAGATATTAGATGCCAACCTGTCAGGAAAATTAGAGGGGATATTTGGAGGGGGTTCATGTATCTGAAGTGGTCCCCAAACCCATTGGAGATTACCAAAATCACATGTAAAACAGTTTAAATGTAGGTCCCTAGCCTCCAGCTAAAACCCACTTAATCATAATTTAAAAAAATTAATGTCCCTGATTTGAGAGCTACTAGACTGGATGATTCTTCAAGTTACACCTTTACACTCATAAATCTAACCCATGAAATGGGGCAGTAAAATAAGAGAAGGGACCAGGAGGACGGCACCAGAAAGTAAGCCTGGCCACCTTGCCAAAGCAGCCCTGCAGTCTCCCAGATGGACTGTGGCAATTGGTGGTCTGGTTTCTAAAACCACCAGCTTTGAAATCAGACATCTGATTTTCACATTTTGGCTCTGCCACATGCTGGCGTGTCACTTTGGAAAATTTTTATGCCTTGATTATCTTCATGTATAAAATAGGAGTGATAATCATTCTCTCTTCATGGTTGTTTTCAGCACTAAGTGACAGGATGCACAACAAAGCGTTTGTATCATGGTGGCTACTAAAACATTAGGCATAATACAGAGATTTCTGTGATGCCACATCAGAGTACTGGGGCACCGATTAAAAACCCAGAGGTTCACTAGTGCTCCACAGATGAAAACATACGGCATGTGAAGTGAATGACAGAATTTGCAGAGGCTTCTTAATTGAACAAACTTCAGTGCTGCAAGACTTACTTCTCACTGAAGTTAATTCTATCTATGCCTCATTAGTTTATATTTGCTACATCCTTTTAATTTTACTAGTAGTAAACATTGCTGAAATACCTGATTAACCAGGAAGCCTATAAGAAACAGAAAAGGGATAAAAAAAACTAAAAAATTTGCAGTGAAATTCACATAAATTGTGCCTAGAACTAACCACAATTTACCATCCAGCAACAAAAGTTACAAATGACAACTAACCCATTTAGTCTTTTTTCATACATTTTGTTTCTGATATAGGGAAAATAAGGAAAACATCGCTTTCATTTGTTTTTAACAAGCAAACACCGCAGGAAGTATTTGAACATTTATAAATAATGCATCCCATTACTGACTCTCTTTTCTCTGAATATAACCAGTGACAGATGTTACCAGTTTCTTGTACACATGCGCCGTCCACCCCCGCTGTACAGCTCATTAGCTCTGCTTTCTTTCCCCAGCTTGACTTAATATATTAATAAATTATTCAAGTACTTAATATGTGCCTGGCACTGTTCTGAGTACGTTAAATGCATTCATTCCCTCACAACTGTATGAGGGAGGTAACTTTTATCCCCATGTTAGAAATTACACTATTAAATCTTGAAGAGGTTAAGTGGCCTGTCCCAAGGCTACAGGGCTAGTAGGCAGCAGAAGCCAGGCTCAAACCCAGTCAAATCTAGACTGTGCTCCAAATGACATTCATTGTACTGCCTCCCTCACTTCTTCCTACTCTTCCTTAAATCCATTCATAAACATTCCCTTCAACCTTAGTGACACAATCAGAGGAGGACTCTCTGACCCCAACCCTGCCACTCTTACTTGCCCTTGGTCAATAACCCTTCTTGAACTGACAACTAGTTAAACTCGATCAGTAGCTTAATCTATCCTCCAGCACAAGTCTGCACCTGCCTCTACTACCAGCCTATCCCATGCACCTGCCTTTTCCTCGGGAGAGAAATCCAGGACCCTTTCTACCCTTTCTGGCTTACCTCCAGACATTTCCTCTCCTATAGATAGATACAAGAGGCCAAGGGCACCTGAGAAAAAAGCAGCTCTAGAACCAAAAAATAAAAGTTAATCATGATGCCTACTGTATGCCGAACATTGGGTTAAATGTTTTATGGACATAATCTCAATTCTTATCACAACCCTGCAGGGTAGGCATTATCTCCATTTCACAGAGGAGAAAACTGAGGCTCACAAAGGTTATGTAGTAACTGCTCAGACTGTAACTGTCTGTAAAGTCACAAAGCTGGTCAGAAGCCAGGATGTGAACCCAGGTCTGTCCAGTGCACGCCAGTTGTGTTCTAATGCTTCTGCACTGATCAGCTGCCATGTGTGCAGTGAACAATGGAGGC